ATTGTCCCCGCCTTTTCACAAAGTAACATTTTCTGCTTAGCAACTGAAAATGGTTTTAGTTCAGAGTCCCGCCCTTCCCCGGGTGAATCATTTTTATTACTTGCTAATGCCCCGTAAGAAGGATTCATCGCGCAAGTGCTAAAAAGAGCATCACTTGTATGCGGTAAATTTTCTTCACATAGTGATTTCAAAAAGTACGCGTTCGCCTGAAGGGAACAAAAATAGCGCAGTTCGTACACCAATACAATATTGTGTCTGTGCCCAATACAATCAGGACTTCTTGCTTCTTAGCAAATTAATTGCTTTCTTCGCGCGATTCATTCTGAGACGTTCAAAGTAAGCAGGCTAGCACAGTAGAGGAACACGAGAATGAAAAGTTGGTCTAAAAAGTTTGTGTTTTATGAACGGTACTAAAGAAGTAGCAAAAACATGTGTTCACGTTAGTGGTCTCCTGGCCAATTAACTATTTTATTCCGTAATTCATCCTACCAGGTTTTTATCAAACACAGTCGATAGCTTTAAGAAAGCAGCACGAGACATTTAGTAGTAAAACTGAACATATGTCTACTTAAGAAATAGTATGCTAACACACCTCTCGCATGGTTCTGTCTGACATCCTTACACATGACAATCTCAGGTGTGGTGATCATTAAGATTTAAAAAAGGCGTACATTTACCTGATTTGAAAGAAGATTTTAAGGCCCAAGTTTGTAAATTTCATTATTGACAGTCATGTTGGTAGTGTTAGCCTGATATAATGATGTTTTCCACCCCTTGGTATGCACGATAATATTAATGCTGTGAATGTCACTGGAAAATGTGCATCTAGTAATCTGGAGTTGAAACTAAAGAAAAGAAAAAGAAATGTCGATGTCTAGAATACTGTGAAGTGATAGAATGTAAACCAATAAGGTGCAGCAGAGAAACGGTAAAATTAGGATATATGTAACGTCTCCTTGAAAATGATTCATGAGGCTTTTATCTATAATTTCTGTTCCAGTTAGAGATAGAAAGAGGAAACTGAACTTTTCGTGTTGATGTACGTGTATCACTTACTTTGGTATGATGAAGAAAATAAACATTATGTGGGTTAGAAATGTAGAGGGCTCCTTCTGATAACCATGGTGCAAGATTCTTCTACAGGTCTGTCACCCAAGAGTGGCTTTGGCAACTTGTCGTTGCTCTTTTTAAAAGAGTGGGTCACATAACATCAGTCTTTATCAGTATTTATCCCAATCGATTGAATGTTGTTTCCAATAAACAAATCAGTAGTAATGCTCATAGTAAATTTAGTAGTTAATCATTCCATGCGTGTTGTCACAAATCTTTCTCAAAATCTTTCAAAAATTACCCCGAGGGTCATTGTTAGAATAAATCAACCTGAGTCAGATTAGTTTGCTTCCTTTAGAGATTTGACCTCCTGTCAAATTCAATTTAAACTGATCTGTTACATTTTGAATCCTAAATTCGAATCAGTCAACCAGTGACCAGATATGCGCACAATATTCAACCGAATCTGAGGATCCGGTGGCAGTAACACAGACTGAGGTGGCAATGATCACCTGATCATATACACGTAGAACCAATCGAAATGATCCTCACGCTGGTGGGGATCAACCCCACAATGATTTCAGAAATGATGAGCATTCATCTCGTGATAACAGTATAACACCAGTTTGTTCAAAAAAAAAGAAGCGCAGCCGGTAACTGACCGTTCTCACTCTGAGTCATATCTCCGTTTGACATCTTTAGGCCATTATCTGAGGCGTTGTACCAAAAGTTGCGACTGTGGTTCGATAGGCTATAACATAAGCGCTCGGGCTAGCTAATGACAAGGGGCTGGAGCTAACGTCTGTACACACACATGTAACTGTCGGCCTATCCTTTCCCAGCAGGAAAAACAAGTGGCGTACTTTTATCTAAATGCAATATTGACAGTCCTTTGGTACGGAATCACCGCATAGGCGCGCAAGTTTAAGCGCGTTTGACGCAGGGCACGATAAAAAAAAGGGCAACGAGTTTATTTCCTGGAATGCATGGACTTTGCGTGAACGCCAAACGCGGGCAAGAACCCAGCTGGAAAACTTCGTACCGGACTGTCTTACTTCCGCCTATGAGGGTGCCCGTCAACTCAGGGCGGAAAGCTAATTGATTTGGACACTTCCTCAATCAGCACTGTACAAACCAATGTCCATTAAGAAGGCGTCATTGCGTTAACAAGTGTATGTAACTATTTAAAATTCAACCACCTCTTTTGAAGTGAACCTGTTTCGTTGTTGAAAGAGCGTTACCGCGAGATAAACGTGTTTTGGTGTCTTGTTCTTCAAACCCAAAGGTGTCTTTGTATTTAAAGTTATAAGCACGTCAACAAGTCTTGGCACGTCTAGGCACCACGGCATGCTAAGCTTTGAATTATTAACACAACATAAATACCAGCTGAGGTACAGGAATGAAATATAAGCCTTCCCTACCCCAAAATGAAAATTTACTTACCACTCACCTTCATTAACAAACTCCATAAAATATCAAAACAAGATGAAAAACACCACAAAACTAGAACGACATAAGCAACGCCATACCACCTCAAGAATTATGACGAATTACATATGTTTAACATGATATTAACAAGAAGACAGATAATTTTCGATAAAAGATGCTACATTTGTTTAGTAACTAATATATTTTTGATGGCAACAGGAAAGACGAAAAAAGAAACTTTTTCTTTCTGTATTGTCAGGGGAGACAAAAAAGACTAATATCCTACGTTTGCGATTGTTGACTCTATCGTGCCTTGACATCTTTTGGTTGTAACTCGATGTACGGTTCACTTAATGGCCGCTCAGGTTCATTCTTACTGGAGGATTTCAGCTGTCTCATCAGCTTTATGAGACAAAAAGCGAGGACGACGACGACGACAAGGGAAGAAGTGAAGGCGGCCATCCACGGGGTCAAAGGAGAGGGGTCATGAATCTTAGCGATTGTTGACAGGAGACTGTAAACTGGCTCATGGGTCATCGTGGTGATTGTTCTGCTAGGCATGGTTCCCGACAAAGAAGGCGTAACCACAGATTCGATGGGTGTGTCTTTGGTCAGTTCTACCTCCTTGGTTGTTGAGCCCGAGACCGTGGCATTGACTGTCACGGCAGTAGGATTTGAGGTCGCATGCAGTAATGTTTTTGTGTTTTCTGCTCCCGCAACTGTCACAAAAGGCGTATTAGGTGCTTGCACGGTTTCTGTCGACAGACCTGCTGAGGTGACTGACTCGCGTATTGCCGAAGTTGTAAGTTCTGCCGTGGGTTCCGTGTTTGGTCTTGTCACACCGCCCTGCACGCTAATTGGCCCAACGGTACAAGAACGACTCATCTGAGGAAACGAGGTTGATGAGATCGTGCATACAAAGGTGCTTCCTGCATCATTGGAAGCGTTCACTGTCAGCCGCCAAGAGCGTACAACGGTGCCGTTGAAGATCGACGTTGCCCGCACGTAACTAATAGGCTTGGCTGGCTCACCATAGACGTTCATCTCGATATTAGGGTTACCGTACTCAGAGACACACTGCATGGTTAATATCGTTCCGGGAAACAGCGAAATGGGCCCTTCAGGGGAACAAACCGGGAAAGCCTCACTGGGAAAATATAACACTTGCAGCGTTATTCTCGCAGAAGCTACCGAAACGTTACCTGGGTTTGTCTGGACATCCTTGATATTGCACATGTACTCGCCGGCGTCAGCTTTTTCCAAGCCCGTGATGGTAAAATCCTGGATGACGACCAGTCGGGCTGATAACCTCTCGGTCGTTTCAAAAGCAAACCGCGGGTCGCTGGTGATGGTAGCTTTACCCCATCTGAGAGTCCGGACAGGGCTGCCGGCCGCCCATTCCACGACGTGGTAGCTCTGGAGATAGGATGCCACGCACGTCATGTGAACCACATCGCCTTCCTTGATGTCGTTGTTTTGGGGCTCCACAATCCACGCAGACACTCTCTGCGATGAGACAAGCGGAACTGTCGTGATTGAGTACCAAAACCCCAGCATAATTAGACACATAAACAGCCTAGCATCCATGTCAGTGTTCTGGGTGGTTAAAATGTATTTCATTCTTGTCAAGCAAAAATACTATGATATTGAACGATCCTGTCTCGTCGTGTCCATAGAATAGCATAAGTGAGCCGGCTGTGAAAGTGCAAGGGACCACGGGCCCCACACAATTGTCAGGGGCACTTAAGCAATTTCTTTCCCTAGCGATAAGAAACCTGTACTCTATAAAAGCGTGACACTGTCTCTAACCAGCTTTGTATTCTAAGCAAGGTCTCAAGGACACTCCAGAACGTCGATATAAAAGTGAAATGACACCTTTAACGACCCTAGAGTATAAAAGCTCAATTGGTGTGTGTCGTCTTTCAAAGTGTATGCAAAAAAATCAAACAAACACGTCAAACAAAAAACGAAATATACTGCATTGTCAGACGTGGAATACATGTATCCAAACGGGTATGGATTCAAATAGAATAAATATCCACATGTTATAATTTTTGTAAAATGAGCTGGGGTCCAGGTTGTTTTAATGTTATGATAATAAATTAGATTAGGGCAGCCAAAAGAGTTGCGCTTTTTTGTGCCATTGATGTATTGCCTTTACACATGAACCCTGAGATGGGTGCGCGAGCACACAGCTCTTTCCTATGATTCTTGTACGTTTACCACATCCAAGAACAAAGTGGTGTGTATATTTTCAACACATGAGGAATACATTTAGAAAGGTATACAGCATTTTTTATTGAGGTTTAAAACCCAAGCTAAGCCATACCGCTGCAAAATATTTTCAACACCCCAAAGTATTTGCCAAGGAAGAAAGTTACAAAGCAGATAACCACTCAGTATTTCATTATATGAACTGATAAACCATCAACAGCGTTCGCTGTTAATCCCTTTCATATTAAATTATTTACACTAAGGAAAAAAAGGTCATTTCACTTAGCACTCATAACATGGTAAAGAATACAACTATCATATACATACATTTATTACATTTGTAGATTTCGTAAAAAAAATAAGTCCAAAGCTTCATCTTTCAGATTTTTTTCATTCCTTGCACTAACAAAAACGCTGCTTCAAAACAAACCAGTATTTATCAGTGAACCGTGACATGTAGCGTGCCAAAGTAATCGCCCATAAACTGACTAACTTTAGGCACTTACATAACGTTTTTCAAAGCCTTGATATACGCTGCGATTCATTCGTGAGTATTTCGACGGAAACGTGCATTGGGCCACAACGACTTCACCGGTCTGTGTCCAATGAGAAGAATAGATCACCATATTGTACGAGTTCCTGCTGTAGTTGAATGCTACCGGAGGGATACCCAAACAAAGCACGGAATGTATTTATTGCTCCGCTGCACTTGTGTGGCCGTGGGCATTGAAATATATAATTTCTGTGAGTGATGGGTATATCCGCCATAAGGCTAAACCACTTTCAGGCCTATGCAGGTCCTTTGCCTTAAAAACTGGAAGTACCGGTAAAAATGCGTAATTACGTGTACATTGTAAACCCCGAGGGTTAAGAAAAAACTAGGGCAAAAATATTCATGACAACAGCATGCGTGAATGTTGAAAATATCTTCATTCACATACAGAACTAGTAGTGCAGCTACCAGGATACAAGTATTTATTATTAGAAAATTCCAAAAGGTCAAAAGCAATATTAAAGATTCATATAGAATTTAACGTTGCTCTTAATCGTTTTACATTAAAAAAAATTCTTTCAATCAAACAAACCAGAAATATCTGCCACGGAATATGTTTTAAATAATATTTCATAAACTGCAATAGGTGTTAGCGTTCCCGGTTTTTTTTAATTGAAGAAACTAACCTAATACATTTTGTTTAAAAAAAATAGTACCTTGATAGACTGACTGGTGGATATAACCGAGGGCTGAGGGGCGGATAACTTGCTGCTTGTATCTCTTTGGAGGAAGCGCTAGCATTTCAAAACTTGTTGGACATTGCCTTAGCCTACCTTGGCTTCTTACAAACACATGTACACGAACTAAAAAAAAGCCTGGCGATGCCCATGCGTATAATATTCTGTCTTAATTCAAGATCTCGTTGTTTGTAGGGAGTAACACATGTTCAGGTATTCCAATTTTCAGGTTTTTTCAACTCTTTCATTAATGATCATCGATTACGTAAAATGTGAAGTTAGTTGTCTTTACAGCTCTCTTTAATTGATAAAGGGCAAAGTTAAAAACTAAACCAGTTCGACGTGCTCCACAACTTGCACAAAAATGTTTATAACTTTAATGATGCAGACAGCTTAGGGGTTCAACTTTGGAGTTCATGTGAACAACCTTATTATATATGGATATTCCTAAACCTGCTGATTTGATATATCCTTAAATTGATCTGATATTATGCCGTATAAAAACCGCATGGATATTCAATACTTTCCTACAATTTCTCCTTACTTGCTTTCTTGACGGTTTGAGCAACATCTAATAGCACTACTGTAAATACAAGTGTCTATGTTTCAACACCAAAACTGCTAACATATTATGAACGTGTTGTGGTGTTAATAGTCTAAAGCTTAACATGTTGTGGTGTTGTGTTGATAAATTAATGAATTTAGACAAATGACACATCTACATGTTGATACCAGGACGCAAAAACATATTAATCGGGTTGTAACACTTTTTGAATATCAAAACATGCTAATTTCCAAACAGGTTGTAAGTTTAAACCGTTACATGTTTACAACCAATGCACAGACACGCTTATAATGTTCATTGGTGTTTACATTGAACAGTAGCTAGTGTTGGTCAGACTTTCAAGGAAAAAAGTTATGATTGCGTTAATTGAGTATGCTTACACACAGATTTCGACACCTTATTAGAATGATAGAAAATTAGAATGATAAAAAATTGAATTGAAGCTGCAGCTGTTATTGGTAAACAAGTCTCTGAAAGCAGATAATGATCAGCGAACACCTTGGCATAAATGTTTGTATTCAAACATACAGTGTATACATACAGTGAGCAAAAATGTTTTGATTTTAGTGTCGAGAAATTTACCAACATATATCAGCTGTTTTTACAAGCCAGATTGAAAACACACTTGTCTTTCTTAAGATAAAATTTAATGAAGCAACTTGAGCATTCTCTGTCAAACACCATCGACTCATGAGTTATTATAAATCAGCGTGCTAAAATAAATCCTTCCATATAATTGATCTTGGACGCAAGCTTCAGCGGGCATGGCACATTGGATCCTTGAGTGCGTTTGTGCAAATAACGATTTGCATTCACTGCCGGTGCCTGATAAGCGGCACCTGCATCATTTCCAGCGGCTCGTAGCTATTGTTAAACGTTATGTATCTATGCATAACGTATCGACAATAGACAGCCACACAAAGTAAGAATGTATCTAATCATAAAATCGTGTCATTACATATGAACACGTTTGTGCAATTTGAAAGAAATGCTAGAATTGTCAGAGCATGTGGGACTTTGCTCATGGCGAGACTATGAGTATGGGGAGGTGTGGAATTGTATACCGTTAGAAACAAAATGTTTGCCAATAGGACAGGCCTTGTTCACAATTCTGAATTGCGTTAATGCCCTGTCAAGCCGTGTTACTGGGCACCCATGTCAACACATACAACTGTGTATTTGCCTGCAACTGGGGAACCCCTAGTGTTCCTC